CCTAATATCTCATAGTAATCCAGCAACAGCATCAGAGATACTGCAACTACATCCAAATAAAATTAATAAATGGTTTAAACTCTGGAGAATTAAAGTAAATCCCTCAAAATCTACTCATACTACATTTACTCTAAGAAGAGGTATATGTCCACAAGTTAACCTCGATTGACATCCTTTACTCCAAGAAGATGACGTAAAATATCTAATCATTCATCTGGACAAACGATTGCGTGTGCATCCTAACACACTGGCATACAATCTTCTAAACAACCAACAAGCAAAGAGATTGAAGATTAATGATCACTTGGACTTACCAAACCGTTTCTGACAGTACCTAGAGTAGTGGAAGCTGGAAGCTACGCCTTTAACAGCGCCCACTCATGCTGATCTGTCCCGATTTTAGTATTCGAGTGCGCGTATTTAGTCGAATATTTGTGTTCTGATGCTTTAGTCACGGGACCTCAGTGGCGTACCCAGGGCGGGGGTTTAAGAGGGGGGTCAAACGCCCCAGGACCCTATTCCGACACTGTTATTTACAAATTTTAAGGACTTAAAATAGTGGAGGTAGCATAAAAAATTTCGGTGTCCAACCAAAAACCCCCCCACCCATAGGACAATTCTAGGTGCGCTACTGCAGGACCTTACACCTTATTGTTTTTATTGTGAAATAGAACTTTAATTTTACTTATTGTTTTTATTGTGAAATAGATTGTAAAAAATCTTAGATGTTAATAAAAAAAATTCTAGAGCATATCTTGTTTCTTTTTAATTTTTACATTATTTTTAACAATCGAGTTATTTTTTTTTTCGTTTATTATTTAATATTTATTAACAATTCCAAATCTATTAAGAAATAACATATAAACATTGTTTAAATAAGTATACGTAAATATTTGCCGGTAACAGAAACAATTTTGTTTTCGTCCGTAATATCTGATTTTTTTTATCTTTGTTATGGATTTTTTGTAGACGTTATCATTTACAAATATTGACAAATCCAAATACTACTCTTGAAAATACTTTTAGATGCCATGAAGTGTGAAAAATTCCCAATTATTGGTGAATCCAAGCTAAAGGCCCTTTAGATGGCCTTCAGATTAGGGAGCTCATGCAATACTCTAAATTCGATGAAGGCTTTCATTGAAGTATATTATTATAAACTTTCTGGGCAACTATAGGAGCCCTGACTATCAGTCTACTGTAGAGGAACTCCTTCAAAACTCATAGTGCTCTTAGCGCACATATGTCTATAAAGATGCACTTTTTCAGCTCAGATTTGGACTACTTTCCAGAAAACTGCGAGGATTACACTGAAGAGCAAGGGTAACTATTCCAGCAAGACATTTAAGTAATAAAAGAGATATCAGGGCCGCTGTACTGTGAATATGCCTCACACTATTGCTGGTATCTTAAGAGGGACATTACAGGTGAAAAACTCACCACAAAGTCTTTGAAATGTTCATGCATTAACGAATAGCTGTTCTAAAATGGTAACTTCGAAACGAATAGCTAAATTTGTGTATATTATTTTAAAATGTAAATCTGTTTCCAAACAATAACCATAATAATAATTATTCTCTTTCCGAAAACTTGCAATAGTAAATAACCTGATCTGATTGAGAAGAATAAGTTGCATTTTTGAAATCAGCATGCATGAAATATAAAAGATCACCTATAAAAGTACCGACTACAAAAAAGACGCAGGCTAGTGTAATTATTATATTCATCTCTCATATTTCAATTTCTCAAGTGATCTGAAAGGCACTCTGCCGAAACAGCTGTAGTGATAAGATATAATAAATTTTATGGAAGTTTTGAAAGTTTTCAGTGTTTTATTGTTATATTAAATGAATTTCCAACAAGCAACGATCGAATCCATCACATTACATACTTTAAAATGTATGCTGTTACTAACAAAGGGTTTCTTATTTTAGTTTTTAGGCTTAATTAAACTTTTTCTTGTCTCCCTTATTCGGGAGGGACTTCCCTAAACACATGGTCAATCATAGGAAGTTAACTGCAGTAGCATGGCCGCAACTATGAAAAACTGTCTGAAATTACAATCCATCTACACATTCAAACACGCATCTGAAGCCAACAATCAAACAAACTACGCTCATCTACAATCTATCAAGCGTATGAAGCCTACCATCCAGTTAACTGCATCATTATTGCCATAAGTATTATTTTTAAATTTTGTACGAATTGAGGCAGGATTTGCTTTGTTTTTTATTAAAATTAAGTTAATTTTTAAAGTACAATAAATATGATTAGTTAATATCATGTTTTATTTGTTACAGCCAAACTAATTTTTCAGATTTGTATTTAAGACAAAACGTACCTACACCTAAGAGACTGAGCTAGACGAAGTCAAACAATTGGCAACGTTAGTTCCAGTTTTATTGTTACCCATTGTCTCCGAACTCTCAGAGGGCAGTAACACCATTTTGCTTTTGATACGATCTAAAATCTGCGTCTAACTAATAAGTTGAAAAACGACGAAATTGCAATCCTGAACTGTTCATTTTTTCTATATGTTTATTTCAGTCAGTTAGGTACATCTACCGAGATACCATAGAGACTTGATTGTTTAGCATAATTCTATCCATACATGAATTCGTCAACACCATTATTCCATTTGCCTTTATCCCTATGAGGGACCAGTTTACCTACTTACATTTCTCCAAACTTTCTAAAATTGATCACTCCTCTCCTTCAATGGTATATCTTGTCCGACTGCCCTTTATCGTGTCTTGTTTGACGGTAAATGAGCCATCTTATCTTTTTCACTTTGACATGAGTTCATGGCATATTTGGATTTTCCCTAATAAATTTTTTTTTAATTGTATTTGACTTTCACACTCCACCCGTTTATCTAAACATTTTTATTTCTATAAGCAATTAATGTTTGCATCACTTGCCTTCTTTCATTTAATCCATACCATTCTAAAGAAAAGTGAAGAAAAGTTTTCCCCCGTTGGAACGCTAATTCCCTAAACTTTAATCTGAGGCATAATTGACTTAAACATTCGATTTTTTAACCACATATCTTAGTTGAAATGCCCAGATAATTGGTTTCACTTTGTGTGAGATGAAACGAAAGGTATGGTATTAAAAAAGGGCTTAATACCGCCAGCAGCAATTTCCAATATAAATAAACAATTTTATTATGTTTATTCTCTTTCTTATCTTCTTCTTAAGGTGACGTGCATTTCTGCGTGGGCGTCCACCGCACATCGTCTTGTCAGGTGAGATTTTAAATAGTTAGGATTAAATAATTGTTTTTAGCAGCATTGCGAAGGATTTCATAGCTGTGGATTCTTGTCCATTGTCGAATATTTCGCGGCCATGACATTTTTTTACGTCCCAGAGCTCCCCTACCCTCTATCTTCCCTTCGACTATCAGTTGCTGAAAAATGTATCTTTCTCCTCGTAATATGTGCCCCAAGTATGCAGTCTTCTTACTTTTTACATAATTAAAAAGTTCCCTATCCTGTAAGCCCGCTCTTCTGATTACTTCCTCATTTCTGACCCTGTCCGTCCATAATATTCTAAGTATTCGACGGAGGCACCACATTTCAAACACTTCAAGTTTGTTAATGGAACTGGCCTTTAACGTCCATGCTTCCATCCCGTACAAGAGAACAGGCCACACGTAACACTTAAGCATCTTGTATCGAAGGTTGAAGTCCAATTTGCGATCAGTCAGAAACTTACGAAGCCTCAAAAAAGCATTTCTGGCTTGTTCAACTCTGCTCTTTCTTTCATTCTCTTGGTCCCAACCCTCGTTCAGCAAACAACCAAAGTATTTAAATTGCCTGACCTGTTCGATTTCTTCTCCAGAGACATATATCTTCGCGTGGGGGTAATCATTTTTTTTGTCTTCTTGATATTTATTTTCAAACCCCGAGCTTCACTTGCAAGAGTTAGATCGTTTAAAAGACATTGAAGATCGTCGATGTTATCTGCCACTTTGGCTGTATCATCGGCATACCTGATGTTATTAATAAATACGCCGTTAACTTTAATACCCTTATTAGAATCTGCCACTGCTTCTACGAAGGCTTTTTCTACGTATAAATTGAACAGCATTGGAGACAGTATACAACCTTGCCTTACTCCTTTTTTAATGGAGAAATTTCTGTTTCGTTGAAATTTTGAAGACGTACTATTGCTGTCTGGTTCCAATACAGATTATTGATAATTCTTATATCCTTGGCATCCAATCCCAACTCTTGTAGGTATTTTATCATCAATTCGTGTTTTACATTATCGAATGCTTTCTCATAATCGATGAAACAGACAAAACATCCTTTCTTTGATCTAAACAATTCTGTATTAATGTTTGCATACTAAAGATCGCTTCTCTCGTGCCAAGTCCATTTTTGAAACCAAACTGACTCCATCCACTGACCTCTTCACATTTCTTAAACAATCTAGTGTGAAGTATTCTCAGGAAAAGTTTTAAAAAGTGACTCATTAGGCTTATTATCAGTGGTCCTTGCAGAAGTTCGCACGTGGTGTTTTTGGTAGGGCGATAAATGTAGATCGAAGCCAATCTTTTGGAATCTGGCCCGTATCATAGATGTCGTTAAAGAGCTTGACAATAATGTCTAGGTTTTCTTCATTAAGTAACTTTATTGTTTCTGCGTACATATCATCTGGTCCTGGGGTTTTGTTACTTTTTAATAGTTTGATAGCGTGTACAATTTCAGCTTTCAAAATACTTAGGCCATACAAATGGTCTCCCAGTTGTGATGGTTTTTGTGTTCGGTCATCATTGAACAAATTGGCTGTGTACATTTTCCAAGTATTAAGTATATCGCTAGGGTCCGTTATTAGTTCATTTTGGTCATTATGTATACCAGTGACTTGTTTTTTCTTGAAAACACCAACAATTTGCTTAATTTTCTTGTAAAGATTGAAGCTGTCGCAGCTATAAATTTCTTTACGAATTTGACTGTCTTTCTTATAAGGAGGTAAAAAAAAATGCTACACTATTATTTATTACCTTTCTGAAGTATTGGCACTTTATTTTCAGAAATGTTTTGTAAACTAGTACCTAACTAGAATACAGTATCATACATAAAGTAGTTTATAATACAAATTATTCAAATCACGATATAAAAAAAAATTTAAAGTTGCATGCATACAAAATAAACTGCCTCTCTTTCACAAACCCGCTTCTTGCAAGTTAACTTCATAATGGCGCGCTAAGTTGCTTATAGTGCGCTATTAAATCGTTTATTCCTTTCAACTTCGCGGATGTCCCTTTCAATTTCAAATCGTCTAACGTCTGTTCTTTGTAGAAAGTCTTGTCGCTCCAAATATCTAAAATAAAGAAAACTAGATCAGCATCAAATAAATACACTATATTAATACTACATAAAAACAAATTAAGAAAAGGCAGTGAGAGAATAATATTTTACCCCTCTCAGCCAAATTGTTTATTCTTTAAAGATAAAATAAAATCGCTAAGTTGGTTAGTTACCAACTGATTAAATAATAAAAATTCTCCAACTGTTAATATTTCCATTAATAAAGTTCAACAATAAAAACTCAAAATTTTAGTTTATTAGGTGTTCAAAATGTTCTTGTATTGATGTATGACCACACATCTGGACACATCTGTAAATCGTTCAGTCTGTGTTAATTCCCGGGAGACGCAATATCTACCTTCCGGCAGTTGCTCCTTGGTCCATACCAGCTTTATCAGGAAATGGATTCTTTGCCAGAGTTCGGGTCCTCCATATTTCAACAATTCTGCCGAAACTCCGTCCGTTCCTGGCGCTTTACTGTTTTTTAGTTTCTTTAATATTTGAACTACTTCTTCATAACTGAGATTTTCAATGTGCTGCTCCTAAAATATACATTGTCTCGTTTTGATCATTTCAATTGTCCGTATTTAGGTTTCCCTCAAAGTATTCTTTTCATCTCATTATATTTTTTTGTTTTTCTGTTAGTAGTTCTCCGTCCTTGTCTTTGCATATTGTCAGTTTAGGTCTAAATGACTGTATGCTTTCTTTTATTCTTTTATAGAATTTTCTACTCTCGTGTCTGTTGTTATGTTCTAAGATTTCTTGTACTTGTTTTTTCAAAGCCTCTCTTTTTTTTCTTCTGCATATTCTAGAATAGAGCTAGAGTCTCTATTCGGAAAAGAAAATCTAGTCAGATATATAAAGGCCAATAGACTCAGATAGGCAGGGCATGTGATACACAGTAACGACAAACGTCCTATAAGCAATGTTTTCTGGGAAAGGCCAGATGGAAGAAGGTCTGTAGGGCGGCCTAGAAAAAGGTGGAAAGATGCAGTCAAAGAAGATCTAGAGAAAATGGGAGTGCGACAATGGGAATTACTGGCACAGGACCGACAAACATGGAAGGCAATAGTAAACGCGGCAAAGACTCACGAAGAGTTGTAGCGCCATTGATGATGATGATGATGATATTCTAGTCGCTTGTATTCTCTTTTCGTTATAAATTTCTCTGCTATTTCTTGTGATTCTTTGAAGTTGGTTAAGACTAGCTTGCCTTTTTTCCTCTACTGCAGTTCTGCATTCATCATCATACCATTCTGCGTTTCTTTGCCTTTTGGCTTTTCCGACAGTTTCCTCTGCAGATTTGTTATTATTGTTTTTAACTGTCTGTATTCTTCATCTGCAGTATCTTACTCTCCGTTGAGTTTTATTTGGAGAGTATTTTGATATTCTTGTGTCTTTGGTGGACTTTTGAATCCTTCCTCTCCCCTAAACCATTTAGAATTAATTTAATTTAAAAAATACTTATTGATATCGTTGTTAAAAACTACCAACAACTGTTCAAATAACTACATTTTTTGCAAATTTCTTTCAATGTATATCTCAAGAGTAAACGAAGACCTGATGGAAGAAGATTCTCCTAGCTATATACTCAACACAGTGTATTATATGTATAATGTACTTTCTGAAAAATTCAGTTTAAATAGAATATTTTTGTCCTTTTGTTGGTCTAACCATTTCTATTAAAACTTATTATAATGAATACACATTATACTCATATTATAACATTCATAAAATACTACTCACCCATCTTTTCCTTTATTAAAAGTCTGTAATTCTTCTTCAATATTCTGTTCTCTTTTATAGCTATCCCAATCCAATTTGGTTTTTTCTAATGTACTAATTTTCGGTTTTTTAGTGAGTTGGCTCAGAACATTACCTATGCCAGTCAGTCCAGCAGATCTTTTACTTTTACCACTAGAAAAACTTTGTTCCGTATGTGCTCCTAATAAACGAGCTTCGGCTGAATCTAAAATCCAAAAGATATAAAGAAACATTGCAGTACCAAAAAAAAATTATCAAAAACTACAAAGGAATATAATTATTGTGTAGTATATGAGGATAGATTGATATTAAACTAGCCTTTGATATATGGCGCTACTTGATACTGGATTGGTTTCGGTGTTGACATTTGCCATTCATGACATGACGTCTGTCAAAATTTTAAGTTTCAAAAACAATAGTTTGCTTTTTACAGTCATCAAAAGCAAGCAAATTTTGTGTTTTCGGAGAAATGGAAAAAGTCGAGTATCGTATGGTGATTAAGTCCCACAAAAAGGGTAAAACGAATGTGCAAATAAAAGTCGACCTGGACAAAGTTTATGGTGAGGTTGCACCTTCGTTAGCAACAGTAAAATTTTGGAAAGCTGAATTTGTTCGTGGTCGTACGAGTGTTTTTGATGATGAGCGTTCCGGGAGGCCAAATGAAGTCACCACGCCGGATATGATCAACAAAGTCGATGACATGATGATGGCAAATCGTCAAATTAAGCTCCGCGAGTTAAAAGAGGTCCTAAACATTTCCTACGAACGCGTACACAACATCATTCACTATCATTTGGACATGAAAAAGCTATCCGCGCGATGAGTGCCGCGTTTGCTGACAATCGATCAAATGTAAAAACGTGTGACCACTTCGGAGACGCTTTCGGCGATGATACGGCGCGATCTGAAGGATTTTTTTCGCCGATTTATCACCTTTGATGAAACCTAGGTGCATTATTACACACCGGAAACCAAACAACAGTCGAAACAGTGGCGCAAACGCGGCGAAGGGCCACCGAAGAAGGCAAAGAGTGCGCATTCGGCCCAAAAAGTGATGGCGACTGTTTTCTGGGATGCGAAGGGCATCATCCATATCGACTACTTGGAAAAAGGAAAAACAATCAATGGTGAGTCCTACGCAGCATTATGGGATCGATTCGATGCCGAATTGCGTCGAAAACTCCCCGGTTTTTAACACAAAAAGTGCTCTTTCACCAAGACAATGCACCGGCAAACCGACCGGTCGTTGTCATGGCAAAATTACACGAATTGGGCTATGAATTGGTTGAACACCCAGCGTATTCCCCAGATCTTGCCGGCAGCGATTTTTTCCTGTTTCCAAACCTAAAAAAATGGCTCGGAGGACGCTGTTTCGCAACAAATGATGAAGTCGTCGCTGAAACTTCGGCCTATTTTGAAGAGCTCGAGCAAAAGTACTACTCGGATGGGATAAAAAAATTGGTACATCGTCTTACTAAGTGTATCCAGCTAAAAGGGGACTATGTTGAGAAATAAATCGATTTAATTCCAAAAAACTTGTTTTTTATATCAAAGGCTAGTTTGATATGAATCCACGCTCTTACTTGAAATAACCTTTAATCAGTTGGATTAAAGAATCGAACTCAAAGTGTAAAGATGTAATTTCTTGTAAATTTAATGCTAATTACCCATAAATTTAATTGAAAATATCGTAACTAAAAAGCTTATCTTCGACATATTCCGTAATGAAAGCTTTGCGGTAGATGATATTTTACTTTATAACCTTTAAACGTTGTCGAAGCTTGTCTCCTAAACTGCAAACACAATGAGAAAATCCGTATGAAATTAATACGAGAAAAATGACGTAATATACGGTATTATAAAAGGTTGTTCACATAAATCGTCTTGCGCTTTATGCTGGCTTAAATAAAACGGAAGAACGGACAAGTTTTAATGTATTTATGTAGAAAGAAAGAGAGCTAGATTCGGCGTGACCACGGTAGTTCAGCAGGAGATTTTAAATGTTCCGGAAAACGTCTCCATAACACGCTGTTGCCCAAGTACTCGAGATGACTAAAGGAATCTTGTCAGTATTCAATAAGAAGTTCGGTCGCTTGGATGAGTTTAAAAATCAACAGCCTAAAGTTGGAAGAGTACTGCGATTAGAAGAGATGGTCCTTGATATTTGCTGTGGATGATTATGTCTTAACATACAAGGCAAGCTACGAGAACATAGTACATGCTTTAATTTGAAGAAAATCGTGTGAAATTGGCATTAAGAATTTGGTTCTACCAAAGACAGGCCATGCACTACAAAATCTGGATTGTAATATTGTGAGAAGCATGACTGAAGTGATCTTCCGAGAAAACAGCGTAAGAAATACTGTGTGTTGCTATAACTCAAAGAGATCATGTCCTAATGGGGACTGTCTAGACAGTAGACAGTTATTCTTTCTTGAAGGATTTATGCAGAGCTGGAGAGTCTTGTAGATTCTGCCATTATGGGCCTTCTTATAGAGCTGCTCATCAGGTCATTCAGATCGAAACTCAAGTAGTAAAGAAAAGGACAATAGACTCATAGAATACTTGGGTATTATAGACTAGAATGGAAATGCCAAGAAGAACTCGATATACTGGCAAACAGAACAGTGCCTTAGTGGTATGGGCGTAAGCTCATACAGTAATACATGGCAATGAAAAAAAAGTGTAGATCTGCACACAACGAAAGTATCATTGTGAAAATGTATCAGTTCAAATGTATGGCCACATGTATATTGGACAAGCATGTGCTAAAAGGCCTGAAGTGTTGGCTTTCTTACTGCACATCCGCATATCAAGGGAGCAGATAACCTAAAATGGGCTCACCTACTTACTGAAAGTTTTCTATAACTTACACTCTTTTAGAAGTGTGTATGTCTCATAAAACGAAAACAGAATGAGAAGGGATTTGTTGCTACATTGAACCACCTAGGTTGTCTTCACTTTTTGCTTGGTATGAAACACAAGCTCTTCAGTGGCATTAATACTGGCTAGGGGGAAGTTCCAAAACTTTCACGTCTCCAGTGCTTTTGTACTCTCATCCTATTTACCAAAACACAGCTTTGTACTGTCTCTATATCCTTTCCACAAGAAGACTATAAATGAGTTCCCTGTTTATATTTAGGGATGACAACACAGGCTACAGCGATATATTGACCAAGTTGCCTACTTCACAACTTTCACCTTACTTGCTAGCCACAGCTTGTACAGTTTCTACTGCCATCCCATAGGCCAGAGTCAGAAATGGCTCCGGCCCATGATCAGTTTCCTGGCAGCAGTTAGAGACATGATGTAAATGGTGGTGTATAAATCACCTAGCTGTCTGCATATCTCCTTACTGTCTATATATTAAAAGTGTTGCCAACATAGAAATTTGGCCTCTATAGAACTAATTGCCAATCAATTGTTATTTTCTCAGTAACACTATGTACATAATTACTTATGGAACTACCATAATTGATAAATAATTAAATACATGTAACTTATGTTTAAATTAGTTTTTTTCATAAATAGATAGGAAGTAGCTCAATCTCCTTGATACAAGTTGTACCTAAATAAACCTATGCTCAAAATATGTTAAGAAAGAAGACAATTTAAGAATTGGAATACATGTAATGCATACCTACTCGAAATTCCAAAGTAGCACAAATGTTAGGCATACAGATAATTTAAAAACCCTTAGAACAGATGATAAAACTCATCATTAAAGGTAAACAGAAATTAAACCTTTTTGACTGAAATTAAATTTTTACTAATAAAATACTTGCAAAAATTACCTGCACTAACTTCTTTCTCAACCTTAACTTCTTCACCAGCAAATTCAAAAATTTGTGTAACTTTAACTTTATTAGCAGGCTTTGATTCTGTACTGGACGATTGGGAAGAACTACTTGATTTGCTAACATTTTCCTTAGGTTTTGAAGATGTAGGTTGAGTTGATTTAATATTGCCTTTTGTTTTAAAACCTGTATCTTTAACAAAATCTGCCCATAGATCATCAACATTTGCTTTTGTTTCTTCAGATTTGGTTTCCTCTATATCTTCATTTTTATTTTCTAAAATAATTTACATTTTCATAAAACTTATTATATTTGTTTCATAAATTATGATTTATTATTATTTTATTTCTTCTACTTTCATATTTTTGTGATAAAGTTTGTATTATTAATATTTTAAGTTGTTTAAAAACAATTATTACTAAATAATTACATGGAGTATAATTAATTATATCTTCATATACACTATTCATGGAGACCTTAAATTTACCAAATAAATTGAAGATCCTTGCGGCCGGTAGTTTAAAGATACATAATAAGGTATAAGGTATTACCAAAGAATATAGACGCTTATTAAGCGTCTATATTCTTTGGTATTACACTAGTACCAAGACAACTTTATGAAATACCGGTAGTGTTGAAGATTACTTTGCTAGTAATGATTGAGTAATTTTGATATATAACCATCTTTTACCGTGTATAAAACAACAAAAATACTACATACCTATTTTTTCCTTTCCAATTTTCTTACGGCTTTTCTTTTTCTTTCTAGAAGATTTTCCGGAAGTTTCTTCGGATTCGGATATTGAATCATCCTCGTCAATTTCTGATGGTAAGTCATCTACTTTTTCATTGGGTACATAGTCTTCATCACTAGAATCACTATCATCTGGTAAATCAGCATTATTCATATCTCTTGTTTTAGGTTAATATCTCTAATTTGATGAAAACACTTTGAACTTTATCAATAATTAATTATACAAGGAACCGTACTGCAACTTTAGTATCTAATAAGTTCAGTAAACATTGGTTGCGCTACTTCCTTAAAATTATTATAATTACTGAACTGGTTCGGGTTTGGTATTTGAATATAGCTTTTATTTAACATACAATAGAGAGAATAGAGAGATCAACAACACAAACTTTTGACGTATAAATTAATTATTGACATGCTTAAAACCGGAAAAAGAGATCCTAAGAATGTGCAGGTGTAATCCACAGAACAAGAATAAAATGACAAGACAAAATTATTTCATTTGAAACTGACAGAACTTATATGTGTTCTGTGGTTATATCCAAAAATGTAACTTAAGAAAAAAATTAGCAATACCAGGGCCCTGATTCTAATTGAGATTTCGACTGAAAACATGTTGAAATCAATATGGCGACGTCGAAATGCGACTTTGCGAGCCTAGTGGATTTCAGCTGAACTAACCAAAGGACGTCACTAAATTTCGATTTATCGAAATTAATTTCAACTTCAAGAAAGTGGTTGAAATTTAATTTCGAGTCGAAATTAATCTGACATGACTAGCGGGACTAGGAGAAGCGAGGTTAGGTTCAGTTTAGGCGGTGTTGTTTTGATTGTTGCAACGAAAACTGAGGCAAAAAGTATGGCTGCGTTTTATCAGAAATTGTATGTGATTCGGCACATAATTGGTCGAAACTTTAACACATAAAAATAGAACTGCGGTACCTGGGGGCCCCAAGCCAGATGCTACTGATTATTTTTTAAAATATACTGTGGTGTAAAAATTAAAGAAATAAAATGTCCCAATATTAAAACTAAATTGGAAACCACAATTTTTGAATATATTCAGGCTGTAATGGAAGATAGAAATAATAAATAATTTGGTTGTAATAATTTATTTTAATTCTACACTCTTATTTGGAGATATAAAATAATCTTTAAACTCATCAAGAATTTTTAGAGCAGTAATGTATTGTTTTTAGTAATACCAATACTAAGCTGCAGTAAATTTAAAAATATAATATATAATATAAGCACAAGCACAAGTCAAAAGCCATCATAATTTCTTTTTGGTCCACAGACAATTTAGTGCCACCATCACCAACAGCCTCCATCCATTTTCTTTCAATTCAAAATATAATCATTGAGAATGGCCACTAAAAATTTAACAACTCAAACAAGAAACAAAAATCGTAAAATTTAAACAAAACAAACATTTAACAAGCGTGCAGCCAATAAACAAGACGGCCAACCCAAATTCTGAGCAGTGTCAAAATGATAAAGTAAATGTCCCCACTTTTAACTAAAATCGAAATGAATGAGAATCGCTAGCGATTGCGACTGTCATGGCGTAGTCGCTTTTAAATTTCGACATCGAAATGAAATAGAATCAGGCCCCAGGTATAATTTTAATAAAGTGCAAAATAAAAAGAAACAATATATGTATCCTCGACAAATAATCAAAATCAAAGACATCCAAATGGAACAATTTAAATAATTTTATTGTTGATCAATAACCTGAGTAGCTAGCTACACATAACTTTCCTTACTGTATTATATTTCTTCATCTTCGCTTCGAAATTTTAACATAATTTAGGGAAACGAAGCCCTATTTTTTACTGCGAGATATGTTGTAACTTTAGCGTACTAAATATCCAAATGAATCATTTAAACAAACTTAAAATAAACTTTTCTTTGTATTTAGGATTTATTCTGTGATTTAGGCACATAATTAATAACACTCAGAATGCCCACTCTCAGATGCCGCCTTTAAAGTTTGTCACCATACGAACGCCATGTTTTAGACGGAAACATAGACTCGAATTGAGACATTTGCACAGAATAATAAACAATCAGAACGCCCACTCTGCTTAAAAAAAATAAGTACGCGCATCTCGTTCGCGCAGATGGAATCAACCATCAACCAAACGGAACCAGTGCTGTTCAGTGACATTTTATTTGGTGCGCATAGACAAATTAACCCGGTTTAATTTATTTTCGACAACTACAGACATAATATGCACTAATTTATTCGAACTTTTAGTTTAAGAATAGATTAAATTATTTCAAATGTTCTAAATTATTATTTTCTAAAAATTTAAATTACAGTTCTGTTGTAGCTTGTCACAAATTTCTCAATTCGAGTATATGTTTCAGTCTAGACTGGGCATTCTGATTGTTTATTATTCTGTGATTTAGGCATTATTGAAATTATTATATATTTTGTTGAAAACATTTTTTACGAAACGCAAAAACGTGCCTAGTAATATAATTCTGACATTACAACGATGTTGGTAGTATTGATGGAGCAAAGTGTTGTTTGTCTTTTCGTACTAGGGAATAGTGGTGAGGCGGCCATAATCAAACAAAAGTGTTTTTAATAAAATGAAGGACATTTGACGCCTTAATAACGTTTTTAAGTAATTTTAGTGGCGATTGTTATAAAAAGGTATACAGATGAGCGCTAAATTGGACGTAAATCGACGTGTCTTAGCTATTCAAGCTAAAAAGAAAAGACACAAGCCTGCCAAAAAGAAAGGTAAAAACGATATGAACGGACATGGTGGAGAAAATCGGCATAATTCTAAAACTGAACCTTCTCATAGCTCGAGTAATGAAACTATCGGAGATGAGGATCCTTACACTAGTGAAGAGGAAGAACAAGAAGATAGTTCAGATTACCGCAAAGGAGGTTACCATCCTGTCAGAATTGGCGACCTCTTTCTTTCCAGGTATCATGTAACTAGAAAATTAGGTTGGGGTCATTTCTCGACTGTGTGGTTGTGTTGGGATCTTGAGGAGAAGAGATTTGTTGCCCTAAAGATTGTCAAGTCAGCAGATCACTTCACAGAAACTGCTCTTGATGAAATAAAAATTTTGAAATCAGTTAGAGAATCTGATCCAACAGATCCAAAACGTAATAAAACTGTTCAACTTTTAAATGATTTTAAGATCAGTGGAATCAATGGGGTACATGTTTGTATGGTCTTTGAAGTGCTAGGTCATCATCTATTAAAATTAATTATAAAATCCAATTATAGAGGAATTCCATTAGCAAATGTGCGCACTATAATGAAACAAGTTTTAGAAGGTCTGGATTATCTCCACACCAAATGCAGAATTATTCACACGGATATCAAACCTGAAAATGTCCTACTCTGTATATCTGAGGATGCAATTAGAACACTGGCTTGTAAAGCAGCAGAACTATCCCAGCTAGGCATAAAATTACCAACTTCCTTAATCAGTACAGCTCCAGTCATAGAGACGAAAATGAGTAAAAATAAAAAGAAGAAACTAAAGAAAAAAGCTAAAAGACAAACTGAGCTATTGAAAAAACAGATGGAGCAAATATTCGAAATTGAGGAATTGAAAAAAGTTAAGGAAAATGGTGATGTTAGTGTGAACGGTGATACTGATTTTCATGAAACTTCACCAAGTCACAGGTAAATGTTTATTTCTAATAGTACTATTTAAAATTCTAACCTTTTCATATCCTAAAAATGATAGCCAGTACAATTAGTTTTACGTAGCCAGTAAAGGGTTATAATGATCAAATTTCAATAATAATCATGTACTGTTTACATGTAGTTTAAAATTAACTTTATTTTGTGTCAAAATTTTACTTTCGTTTTATTCCTGTTTGCATTGACTCTAAACTAATCTAATTACCCATTGTAGTTCCACAAACTATTTCCTCTTCAGCTCTTCAGAAACATTTCATATTGACCAATTTACTTTCAATGTTAATGAGAATAAAATGAGGCCTGGTACATAACCTTCAAAATAATTTTTTATATTTGTTGATAATACTTGTTTTTTTATCAAATGATCTTAAAAAATCTTCATAATTGACTTTAATGAAATACACTACTTTTAACCAAGAAATCAGCAAATCATACTTCAATTCTACTTTACTTTACCTGTATAAAAATTATGTTGTCATAAATAATCCAGTGTGGAATTTTACACAGACCAAAAATATTTTTATAGGTCACTGACTGGTTTTTCTTCCTTCAATCATAAACAAATCAGAAAGCAGTTCCATTAATTGAAAGAATGAACTAAAAATTTGTTTAATTGCTTAAAAATTGTGAAGTGTTATTTGAAATTCTATAGAATTTGTTTGTAGAACAGTTGTAGTTACAATTTTTAATCATAAATGAATAAATTCAGCTATGTTATCATTTGTTTGAGTTTTGTGTTCTTTTTTTTCTGGCTTGTCTATTTCATTCCATATATTCTAAGAGTAATTCTAATTTAGACAATTTTTGGTTTCTCATTTTGTTTCTTCTCTTTGTTACTATTTTTTTAGTCTATTCATATTTTGTTATAAAAAAACATATTCATCACATTTTAATTCATTTTTTTTTTACCTTTTTGTGCAACTTATCACAGTTTTCATTATAAATATTGGATGTAATGTAACCTTATCCAATTATTTAGATCAGAAGAGTATAACATTTATCAAATTGTATACAAACTATTTTACATGTTAGTTTAAGATGATAACCTTTTTTCTTCTCCTACCTATGCTTAAAACTTTAAATCTAAATGAGGTACAATAGTCTAGTCTAAATGTTCGGATCGGACCTGAAGCCTCTAATTTATTTGTATCCCAGTCTAATAACCACAATTAGAAACAAAAAGATGACAAATTAATACAAAAACGGTGCAAAAATATTAAAAGAAGAAAGAAAAAATAAAACAATACAACAAAACAAAACAGTTGTCAGTATAGATTGAGTCAACCTGGAATCCCTCTTCAAAGCTGTTATATATATGATTGACATACAAAACTATCTTGGCATCTGTTGACCTCCCTCTCATAAAACCAAATTTTTTTCCAAATTTTAATTAAAAATGCCTCTAAAACTCAATGTCAGTTTCTTATTAACCAAACGATCAAGCAACTTGGGCAGATTAATAAAAATGTTGTTTACCCACAAAAATAGTTACTTTAGAATTCTATATCAATATTAATACTAAAAGTAGATGTGTGTATGAGGTAGAATTTTTTGTGAGATATGATAATATGCTTAGAATATAACTTATATTTAACATCTGATGAATGGCAGGCCATTAAAAATTCTGCAGAAATTTTGGAAATATTTAACAATATAACCAATGAGATTAGTGCAAAAAAAGTGTTTCTGTTTCAAGGATATTTTCATTTATATCTGCAATGCAAAAATTGTTAAAATTTGGAAACCAGTTATTAAAAAAAAGTACAAGCTGTGCATAAAGTATTTTTTAATCAAATCAAAGACAGGTTCAAAGACATTGAAGGGGACATTACTTTCAGAAGCAGCAGTTTTAGATCTACATTTTAAAATTCATGGATTTTCAAGTACACATTTGGCCAACTGGCTGTAGAAAATCTGAAACGAAAGTATCTGCTATGCTCAATGAAGAAAATTCTACAACTCAACAGGAAAACTTCTAGAACTGCCATCAAATAAAGGAAAAACTATGGATAAAAAAGGTCTTTGGAATGATGAAATCCAAATTAAATCTAGATCATAAACCAATCCAGCTAATCCATACATGCTGGTGAAATTAAAAATATATAAATTAACCACTAATCACCTGATATGAAAATCCACTGCTTTAGTGGAAATGGAGGAAGATTTATCCTCATTTATCTATCTTAGCCAATTAAACACTTTATATCCCTGCAACTTATGTGCATTGTTAACAAATATTTTTCAAAGCTGGAAAAATACCTTCAGAAAAAAGAAGTAGATAAAACAATTTAAAAATTAGCCAAATTTTATTTCTTAATGAAAATTAATAAGTTTTCTTTTATTTTTAGTATATTTTTTATTAAATTTATTGTTATTTTTTGTTTAAACAATATATGTACATTTTCTTAGGATATATACTAAATTTATATCAGTTATCAGTTACTTCAAACATTCAATCAACATCAAATCACTGTATGTGAGGACAAATTTCAAATTTTTTATCAATTTTTTTTTGTCTGAATTGAGATTCAAATCTTTCATATCCACTTTTAATTTACCAAACTCATTTTTGCAAATTAAGAATAGTGCTTTACTGTACTTATTAATTAATAATTAACCAGGAGTCCACTTTTCATTAAATTTGCGTTTTTTTCTCATTCATTTTTCTTTTCTTTGGTATTTTATTCATTTTTTTCTGTGATAAACTATCGTAAAAGCTATATACATCCACAGTACATGTGAAGAAAATCCCAAAGTTTATAAAACTCCTATTTTCCAAAAAAACTCAGTTTCATTTTTAAATCAATAGATATATCTTTAAACCATCTGGCAATCACTATAGCATATAAATTCCAACATTGACACCAATAAGTAGTTGTTGCTTTACCATAAAAGGGTTTGCCTTGAATGGGCTATTTTTATCTTTTATTCTGTTGAAGAGTAAATTGTAAAATATACCAAAGTTAATTTATACAAATGTATTACACCAGCAATCAAGTTCATGGTCATTGGTTTATCAAGGGACATTGCATCATACAGGCATATTTAATGAAAATTTTCATATTTTGTTTTAAAAAATGTACAAATATATTAAATTAGGTTAGTTTTTTTGTAATTAAAACTTTTACACTGAAATATTCTAAGCAGCTAGATAAGGAATAGAAAAAGAAACTCAAAAATAACAATGATACTAAGTAAAAGCTGAGCAGAAGGTAACAAATTATTTTGGTACAAGCCATTTTAAAATAAAATGATATTGAGTAGAGTAAATTTTTATTTGCATACATTTTTAAACATAATTGAGCAAATAATGTCACATTATTAATTACAGATTAAATATATATATATATATATATATATATATATATATATATATATATATATATATATATATATATAGATTACACATTTAAAGTATATTAACATTTTACAAATTTAACATGCTGATCAAGGAGAAGGATAAGCCAGGCACTCTGCCACAGTATAGGGCTCAATGTCAACTAGGTGTTGAAAAACAAAAACTTTTCTTTTAAAAGCTCTATAGTGTGTTTCCTGTTGAATGTCAGAGGATAGACTATTATAAAATTTAACACACACATTCAAAGAACTTCTCTCTTTTATAGACAATCTGTGAAGTGGCAAATTCAAATTAAGGCTTCTGGTATTATAATCATGATTGGGAAGCAGGTAATAAAAAAAAAAGAAAATTTTTTAAAAAGGAACATAATACATTCAAATATATAGATGGCTGAGAAAATGAGTATATTGAGTGATTTGAATCAGCCTCTACAGTATTCTTCCGCCGAAGATCACCCAGACTGCCTTTTTAGACTATAAAGACAGTTGAGCTATCTACTGCAGGACCCCAGAATATTACTCCATATCGCATAACAGAATAAAAATTTGCATAATATACTGATAGTAAAATCCCCTGGTCTAGATAGCTCTTTAAACACTCTTAATGAGTAGCAGGCTCTATTCAGTTTTTTGTTATATTTTGTATTTATTCCCCCAATTCAGATTCTGGTCAGAATGAATACCAAGAAATTTAACTGATCTAGCAGGTTTCGGGTTTTGTGATAGAAAATTAATTGTCATACTTTACATTGACAATGTCAAGTTATAAATGTAACATAATTCAAATCTGAGATTTCACAGCTAATCCTTTATGATTTTCTTTGTGGGCTCTTACATTTTATATACCAATCATATGTTCTTCTCAAGCTATTTTCTTGTGATATTTTAATATTATTTACGTGATTCAATTAGCCACAATTATAATTAGATAGTTAACAGATACAGTTTATTATAATATGTATTATATTATCAAGTATAAGGTTAGGTCTTCTAAATTTCTAAATACACTGCATGTCAGAGAAAACCCATCCAATTTAGGAAATTTTATATATCTTTATTTATTTCTTTAGTTTCTTTCAGTTTAAGAGAAAAAACAGATTCACAAAATCTATTAAACCATAAAATTTTCTGAACCCATCATGTATGAATCAACAAAGCTTCAGGAAATTATTGTTTTGAAAACTCTATGAACTTTTGTAGTGTTTTAGAGATTTGAAAATATCTTAGTGTTACACAGGCTTCCTTACAGGTGTATTTCTTAATAACGATGGAAAAATATCAAAAAGAATGTGGTAAGACAAACGTTAGTCATACACTTACGTAGATAACTTTCCAACAATTTCTTGAGACTGGATCTCACATCAACATCAACAGTGACGTGGTGCAGGTGCCAAAGTGAAGATGACAGAGCAGATCACAAAATGCTCCAAAGCCATCTTCAGCTAGCTCAAGGACCAGAAATTAATGTTTATACAGTTAAACATTGTGTAAGAATAGTGTAGAACATAAATTTATAGAAAAGATCATTGAAATATATGTAATAGAGGTATCTGGTGCTTGATATATTCTATGAAATTTGAAGTTATAGTGTCTTTTCCTCACTTCATTCTCATTCACTGCTCCGTAGATTTTCTTTTGATACATCTTAACATATTTTCATTACTTTTGGTTACAGTCCAGGTCTCTGAACCATATGGTGGGAGTATGGCGGCTTACAATTGTGTTGTGTCTTATTTTTTAATCTCTTAGAATGAAAAAAATTGAATTCTTTGAGTGAGGGCATTTTTTCTATCTTAAACAGGGTACCATTTATTCCTATTAATTATATGATCAATAATACATTGTAAACAAACCAGTTAGAGCCAACTTTTATATATATTATAATCTTTTTCAGTCCTGAGACAACACCAGAAACTGAAGTTAAACTAGAAAATGGCTGTGTTGAGGATCTTGGAGGTGGTGAAGCCCCAAATATGGATTCAGTAATGGAACACATGTCAGAGGATGACTCGAATCAACTAAATTCCAATATGGACAAAATTGATGCAATTGATCCAGCCTTTGTGGAATGTGAGTTTGATGTGAAAATTGCTGATCTTGGCAATGCCTGTTGGGTCGATAAACACTTTACAGAAGATATTCAAACTAGGCAGTACAGATCTCTTGAGGTTTTATTAGGATCTGGTATGTATATTTTATACATTTTATACATTTAAAAAAATTATAGTAAACAAAACAATATACACTTGCGTACATAGAAATTGGCCCACTGTAAACTTTTGACTTTAACTATATTTTTTTCAAGAAATTATCATCAGATCACAAAAACAAATATACTGTTTGAAAGACAATTTAATGCTTTAATGTGAGTATATATTTATCAAGAAGGCTTATCGTTTACATGCGTAGTAACCGGTAAACAAATGAAACGTGTTTATGTGATGATTGTCATGAAAATAACAAATTTGTCTAATTGTAAAAGTATTGCCTTTGCAAGTGAAATTTGCATATTATTCGTTTTTCATAATCTCAGCAGTGTTCAAGTGTGTTACTTTAATGCATACTACGCCACAAAAAGCCGCCCAAGTTATTGCTCTAATCGAAAATGGACTTAGTCAGCGAGCTGTTGCTAGACAATTGGATATGACATGCGCAGCGGTTCGAAGAGTGTGCCAATGTTATGAGGAGACTGGATCCTTTCATAGGCGACCTGGAACAGGCAGACGGCGATTTACAACCGCTCGTGATGACCGCTTTATTGTGTCAACAACATTAAGAAATCGTCACCTTAATGCCGTTCAGGTGGAACGACAGCTCCGTGAGGTGCGAAGAGTGGCTGTTAGTCAGTGGATAGTGAGACGAAGACTGCGGGAAAATAACCTAACCCCTAAAACACCTGCGATTGGTCCAAAACTTACTCCAGCTTATCGGCAAGCACGCCTGTGTTTTGCACAGGATCATCGGAATTGGACGTTGGAACAATGGGGATCTGTTTTGTTATCAGATGAGACCAAAATATGCCTCTATGGTAGCGACTGAAGAAGGAAAGTACCGGAGACTAGGAGAGAGATTTGCAGAATGCTGCTTTGAAGAGCGGAGTGCTTATGGGGGTGGTTCCTGCATGATCTGGGATGCAATTTCTATAGGAGCACGAACCGATCTTGAGTTCATTCGTAGGGACGACCGTGTTCACGGAAGAAGAGGTTTAACGGCTGCCAGATATATCGAGGAGATTTTAGCAATTTGTGTGGTACCTTACGTCGACTACATTGGAGACGAATTTATCTTTATGTATGACAATGCAAGGGCACACACCGCAAGAATCGTGCAAGATTACATTGCAGAAGTCGGTTTTCAGGTTATAGACTGGCCAGCAAACAGTTCTGACCTAAATCCGATCGAACATTTATGGGATGAGCTAAAACGAAGAATTCGAGCTAGACTTCATACCCCAGACTCGATCCCAGAGCTTATTCTTGCAGCAGAAGAAGAGTGGCTTAACATCCCACAAGCAACAATAGCAAACTTGATTAGATCTATGCCTAATCGGATGAGAGATGTTATTAGGGCAAGAGGAGGTCATACCCATTATTAAAAAATTAAGAGTTAAGTTTTGTCAATAACCCTATTTATGTTAATAATAAAAAAGCTTAATTTGCTTAATGAATTCATTTCACTATGTTAAACATAGGAAGCCGAAATAGGTTTTCATAAATTTATACTAACATTAAAGCATATTAAATTGTCTTTCAAACAGTATATTTGTTTTTGTGATCGGATGAATATTTCTTGAGAAAAATATAGTTAAGACAAAAGTTTACAGTGGGCCGATTTCTATGCACGCAAGTTTATTAATTCAATTCTTTTGGTATGTTTTTGCTTATACTCTTATTGAACTAACTATTTCTAATTATCTGCCTTGTCTTCATTATATATTTAAATCAATTGTGAAATTTTCCATTATTTGGGTATAATTATTCCATTATTAAAATTGTGATACAGGGTACAGGTTTTCCAATAATCTTTCTCATCCGCCGGAAGAGTCTGATCTTTTGTAGAATTGAATCATGGTTATCTAAGGCAAATTTGTGTGAGCGACAGACAGAAGCAGACAAGTCAATTTTTGAGAAAAAATTTTTATACTCACAATTTCATTAAGTTTAGAGATGAACTCAATTAATCAAGTCATTTTATCTGGTTTAGATAAGCCCATACCTAAAGACCCCAGTACATGTTTGGTCAACTAGTTGAGCTAATGAGTTGGGCCACAATGTGTACAGAAACACTTGGTGTAACTTCAGGATTGGTTGCCAGCATTGGTCTACAAACTGAATGTTGTCAGTTTTTCGTCTACATATCAAAGGATTTTGTATCAATCGGCTAAACAGCGCGCTGAAACCAATGTTTGAACGCTGGTCACACTTTGAGTTACAGTCGATCCGCCGGATCTTTGCACACCGTCATCATTCTTATTATAAGAAATAAATCAAAACATGTGAGTCAAACGTATGTCGGCTATAAGAATTATTATAAAAATTAGAAAATGGCTAATATTACAATTGACATTTTTATGCTTCTCTTTTATTTCATTTATTGCATTTTAAAAACTGGGTACATATACATTTATGAACGTGATTTTCCAAGTTGTCCAATGACATCTACAGTAAATAAATATTTAAACCATAGTAATCAGAAATTAAAGTATTTTTTTTTTGAATATAATCATAATATTTCATATTGCCCGTTGACGGAATTTTAGCTATATTTAAATAATTAATGTCAATTTAGAGGTTAACAAAAATATATTATTCGTTATTAGCTAATACATGAATTCTTACTCTAATAAATTGAACATGAAGGTAAGGGTTAGTCGTTACAACAATTGTTTGTTAAAAAATATGTATATTTAAAGTATGAAAAAGGATTGATTATTTAAATCAAACGAAAATAATTTATAAAAATATTACAAACTCTGTCAAAACAAAATTTCCATTTGACATGTCAATTGTCAGTAGACGAATCAATCAGAGATCATTGTTCTATAGCTGTCTTTGTTCAATGCTGGGTGTTGTGTATGGACAGGCGGTTTAAGTTAATAGTTTTAGTTTCTGTGAGTAGGAAAGAGACGTAACATAAAAAATGATTCGTGAATAATGTCATACTCGTGCAAAGATCCGGCGGACCGACTGTATTTCTTTTCTCTGGTAATGTTTCAGTAAAATTATGAAACAATAGGAAATTGTCATAGGACACTTTCTGTAATTTATATTACAGATTCTAATTAAATGGGAAGTTAAATATTCTCCAGGAGTTTTTTATTGGAATTGTGATTTTAGACCCTTTAAAATGTTTGATAATATGTGATACTTCAAATGTCTGAAGTTTATATTAACGTAAGATCTCTATTTCTTGTTTAACAGTATAAATATACAAATTCAATATCAAATTGCAGGATACAACACCTCAGCTGATATTTGGAGTACTGCTTGTATGGCATTTGAACTCGCCACGGGTGATTATCTATTCGAGCCCCACTCCGGTGAAGATTTTTGCAGGGACGAAGATCATCTAGCTCATATAATAGAATTATTAGGAAACATACCCAGGAAAATCGCCCAGGGCGGAAAGAATTCGAAACAGTTTTTCAACAAAAAGAACGAGCTTCGTCACATAACCAACTTAAAACCTTGGGGTCTAGAAGACGTTTTAATGGAAAAATACGATTGGAGTCGACAAGACGCCGAAGATTTTGCTGCTTTCCTGAAGCCCATGCTCGATTTCGAACCCGATAAACGTGCGACTGCCGCAGAATGCTTGAAGCACCCATGGTTAACACAACAGTGAGCCGTTGCTCTCTAGGTGACTGATTTCGATTTATTTCTGCTTATTTTTGACGTATAGTGCATTTTAGTACCTTTTCGAAATTTGGTTTCTTATTTAATGCAAATATGTCCAAAATCTTTTAATTTATTGATCGGTTCGACAGGGCCTTCATTTGATGTACATAGCATTTGTAATAGAAAAATTGTGATGTATGTGTTTTATAGACAATATAAATGTCCTCCTTAGGTTTCTGTTTTATTCCTAAATCTTGTTGGACTGTCTATAAATATCGATCTATCTAATTTTTGATTGTATTCAAATGAAATAGAACATTTTTTTTTAATTCTAGTTATTTTGCTACAATTTTTTTATATAAACTGGCGAAGATGTTACTTTTGCGGGATTGTCTTTATATGACAAAATATATAGTTTGTAGACTTTAATCTAAGAAATTTAATTTAAAACCGAAGATCACATACAGTTCTATAAGTAAATTTTTAAAACATACAGGGTATTTTAGAAGATACACGCAAAATATGTAGATTGAAACATGCAGTAAAGTCATTTGGATTTAATTCACGTTTTTAAATTGCTGTAAAATTTGAATATGAAATTAGTTACCGTTATAAAAAGTGTTGGTTGCACCTAGTACATTATATATTGCTAATACTGGGTTCAACAAAAGTAAATAATTAATGATTTTAGTCTCTAAATGAACACCATTATGTATATTGTATCATAAATGTTTGTCCCATTCGTATACTTTTTCGGATGATGTAGTGTTGGTAAAGTATTTTGATGTTATAATACTTTACTTGTGTAATCCCTGATATTATTCTTGATTCATATGTCATATTATATGTCTTCTAATTTCTTAGTGCCTTATAGATTGTGAAATATGTAACTAGTAGATGTTTACTGCTTTTTTAGGGTCATTGTAAATTAATTTTACTCTCAATGAATGTATTTTGGGTTGGTCAATTTTGATCAAGTGTGATATGCAATATATTTTTTAAGTTTTTAATTCTGCGATGAGAGTTTTTTCGTCAGATTTTTAGTTTAGCGTTTATATTAATACTTATTACTGTGAACTACTACAAAAGTTTTATTAGGGTGTATTATTTCTAACAGGGATCTTTTATGTTACAGATATGTTAAAAAGTGCTTGGCTTGATAGTGAAAACAAGCAACAACAATTTAAGCTTTCAAGTGTGTTTTATTTCCCAACATGATCTACTTATACCAATACATCTCATTTAATGGTGGTCTCATGGTGATACCATCCTTTCACTAGTATTTATCTGGAAGTGCTATATCTCAACTGCTGAAAGTACTTATTTACATCCTCAGTGGCTTCTTGGTTGGATTGGAGCTAAGAAGATCTTCAGTTTCGAGCATAGACAAAAGTATGGGGGGACCAAATCTGGTAAATTGAGTGGTATGTCAAAAAGTGCTCGGTTTTATAGTGAAAACGACAATTTATGGTTTTAAATCTGTTTTATTTTCCAACACAATCCTATCTTATACCAATACAGCTCATTCAATGGTGTTCTAATGCTGATACTACCCTCTCGGTGGTATTTATCTGGAACTGCTGTATCGCAACTACTGAAAGCACTTATTTACATTCTCAATGACTTCTTGATTGGATTGGAATTAGGAAGATCTTCAGTTTCGAGAATAGACGAAAGTCTGAGGAGGCGAAATCTGGTAAATTGAGTGGATATGTCGAAAAGAGCTCAGCTTGATAGTGAAAACGACAATTTATGATTTCAAATATGTTTTATTTTCCAACACAATCCTATCTTATATCAATACAGCTCATTCAATGGTGTTCTAATGCCAATACCACTCTCTCAGTAGTATTTATCTGGAAGTGCTGTATCCCAACTGCTGAACTTACTTATTTACATCCTCAGTGGCTTCTTCACTGGATTGGAGCTAGGAGGATCTGTAGTTTCGACCATAAACGAAAGTCCGAGGGGACCAAATCTGGCAAATTGAGTGGTATGTCAAAAAGTAATCGGCTTGGTAGTGAAAACAATTTATGCTTTCAAATATTTTTTAATTTCCATCCTAATCTTTTTTTATATCAATACACTTCATTCGAAATAGACGAAAATCCGAGATGACAAAATCTGGGAAATAGAGTGGATGTTTTAGCACTTCTTAGTGCAGATTCCTCAATTGGCCCATTGCTAAAACACTTGTAGCACTAACCAGCTAGCATCATATCCAGCAGCTGGAAGGTTTTCAGTTACTAGAATAGACAAATCTGGAAAATAGAGTGAATGTTCCAGCAGCTCATAGTGCATATTCCCCAATTGCCCCATTGCTAAAAACTTGTAGCAGGGGTATTGTCCTGATCTAAAATGATTTTTACTTCCTTTTAGACCAGATCTATTTTCACCAATCCAGTGTCATTAGAAGGTGAGAGTAATTCTCCAGTTATGTAATTAAAAGCAAAAAGTTTTCGTTTTCTTAAAACACGCCAACCACTTTTTGGAAAATGTATGTGAATGCGTTTGTAAACAACATGGAACACATGCAGTGCCAAGATTTTCCGTGTTAAGTCCCTAAAGCAAGATTTGACCAATACATTCGTTTGATATTTAAGAATTAAGTACATTTAATTTTGATTACTCTTTTTAATTTTATTATATATCTAATTATCCCTTAGAAATAGTAAAGAAAACGTCGGTAATCACCCGATATCAATTTTACAATACAATACAATTAAATCTGTATATTTAAGACTTTAGTTCCAACAGTAAAGATTGCTAAGATCATCAGTCAATACGGATCTTCAAAAATACTCATATTTCTCATTACTACAAACGGCTGCCTACAGTCAAGTGGTACCTGAAACAACTTGCAATTTTACATAGCGTCTACTAAGATCTATATCAATAAAAAGAGAAAAATCTTGCTATAGCATTTTTCATATAAAAATGCTTGCACGTCATTCAAGATTTACGACGTCAGAACCCCACAGCATTGCCAAAACATCAGAATAATTAGTAAGTAAGGAATTCTTAGAATGTCAACTATTTGTCAAACTATTATATTAACAGTAAATACACTTAGTTTTAAGATTACTGCAACACACTAAAATACATAGGAAAACGTTTTAATACAAAATTATATATTCTAAATTTTAACTTACCTTTTTTTAATTTGGCTTTTTTGGCTTTAATAGTAAAAACGTCCCGCCCTTATTTCTTGTTCAAAATAATCTATCTTATATGAAAGCTTATCAGCTTTCTACAGACTATTTTATGTTTTGGCATAGCACAATCACAATACACAACAATAATTAGTTTTTAAAGCTATTAATCCAAATTAAATATGTATTTACAAATACAATTTATTAATATGTATTATATTATGATCAAATTGTGTAAGAAATCAAAACATAAACAAAATTCTTACGCTAAAAAAGCGGCAACACCTCATACAATTTTGCCACAGGCTGAACTGTCAATAAAATTTGAAGTATGCCCGTATCAGTTGCGTACAATTGTCTTAGATATTTATTATTTTTTTTATAACTAATATAATTATTATTTTGTGGAATATTAGACTTAGAGAGTTATTTCATAAAATTTATATTGTTAATAACAAATCTTTTTGGTTATTTAATCAATATAATTCTAAAATTCCCAATATAATGATGATTACATTTTTCTAATTATTATACCATGTTGACACCTATGAAAGATCGAGCAGTTCCGTATGGGTTTCGTATTATTAGCATTGTTAGGAAAATTTGAACTCTAAGGTTGACGTTCTCGAAATTTTAAATATAAGTGACGTCACTTTATAAAATTGTGACGTGCAAGCAGTTTTATATGAAAAATGCTATAGTAGGTTATCAGACCGCAGTATATGGCAGATCTTAATTTTAATATGTTTGATTGATATTGGCTTTCCCTTATTTCCCGATTTCGGTTGATTGGATGGGAATAGTTTTTAGAGGTCACTCACAAAAATTTTTGTAGTAGTACTTTTACATTATTTTTTTTCTGCCTGGCTTATGCTCATATTTTTGCTAGCCATCATAATAAGCTTCAATAATTCCAATCCTTAATGATCTTCCACCAAGAGTTCTAATATTGCCAAAGTGTATTTTCAAATTGATAGAGCTTTACCAGACAGAAAAGATTATCTTAAATCATAATGTTCCTAAAAAAGACTATCAGTACAGAACATATTTTAGATAGATCAATATTTATACCCTTCCTTAAATGTTACAGCTTGTTAAGACCCTGTTAATAGATAATTATCTGTGAGACGTTTAGAGGGGGAACAATTTATAGGTCAGTCTGTTGTAGACACCGCGATGTACACATTGACTTTTTCATAGAAGGTAAATATGTTTGTAGTAAAAATATAATAATAGAAATAATGTAAATTTGTTTAGTTTGATGTATATACCTTCCCAATGCCGTTAGAGTATCGTATTAATTTGAATTTTTATTTGAAGTAAATGTTTCTATATAAGTAAAAAATGCGCAAGATTCTTTATAGGAGTTTAACCCATTTCCCCCTACTTGATAGGTTCGTGACAGGTGACAGGTTAGGTTAATAAATTCTGTAAATTTATTAACTTATGCTGTCACGTACGATTTGCGGTCGTTTGACTGAAAATTCATATAATAAACACTTTGTTATTGTAGACATTTTTTTGGTAAAAATCAGGGAAATTAAACTATTCTGCATATTATCGCGCAACGGAATGCATGTGAGGAATTTCGCGGAAAATAAAATATTGAAAATATATGTTTAATTACCCAACAAAGGCAAAAAATGCATGATATTCTATATTATATAGTATTTCATACAGAAAATTGGGAGACACTTAATACCCGTTGCGAATTTTGTAATCATTCTACTAAATAATGGTTGGGGTTGTGAAATCGCAAAAAAAATTGCTTACGTAAGTTGCACATTATCGCGGAATGGATATTCTTCGCACATGAGCGCGGAATTCCGCGGACAATTTTACTAGCGCATAATATATTTTAATAAAGGTAGAATCACACCGTTGAAAACAAAAATAAATATTCGATTGTCTTCCACGAAATAACGTAATTAGTTGATTTTTTAATCCTTTTTTTTTCATTTCTATGTTTCAACAAACTCAAAACTACACGATAATAAAACATTAATGGATGGCCTGCTATTTGGATCGATTGCGTACAACAAATAATCTGAACAAGCATGTTCATCGTGCGCCACCGT